AGCCAGCCGCCCTTCATTAATGTGGGTCCTGCGTCCCCCAAACACCAGATGAGACCCACCGACGGAGGTGCAGGTAGCTCCTGATCAATCCAAGCTCCCTCCATGTCCCCTGCACCTGCAGCCCCCATGCCCAGCATGCTCCCCATGACCTGTGGCTCCATCCACTGGATATGTGGTTTCCAGACAATGGGCTGTGACCCCCGGACAGCTGTTGAGTTTTTCAGAACAAGAACAGAAACAGACACAGAGCAGAAACAGAAAACAGGATGCAAAGCACAGTTTCAGATACACGGGTACTTATCTCCTGGGTCTCCACGTAAAAACACACCATGTCTGTGCTGTCACCAAAACTGTCTACAGTGCTGCTTCTGTCCCCTGGCCCCTGCGCCTGGCCCCTGGCTGCCGGTCCCAGTGCCCCACTGCTCAGACTCCCTTCCTCGTGGGCAGGAGCTCTGGTCAGACTCCCTGCTCACTGCTTTCCCAGGCCCTGGCCTTTTACACAATACACAAGCTTCTGCTCACATAGCCACAGGACTGTAGCCACAGGGCTGCCTTCTCCCTGAACAGACCAGTGTTCTGAGAAAGAAAAAAAAAATGCTTTGCTGCTCCAGCCTCCTTTCCAGGTCTGGGACTTGCTGGGAGCACATCGTCTCCCCATGAATAACCACAGAGCAGCAGGACTCGGTTTCTTTACGAGCCACCTTTCATCTCTGATCAGGAAAATCACGAGCACAGTCACTCTGGAAATACCTCAGGTCTCCTGACAAAATCCACCTCCTTCACCCGATGCGATGTGTTCTTAGTGTAACACACTCGGTGCCTGACACCCATGCCAGGTGAATACACAACGTGCAGTCCAAGCCTGTCTCCCACCCGTGAGAACAGTGGCCTCTCCAGGCCCACTCTGCTGTCTCTTCCTCTCACAGGGTGAATGGAAAGAGAGACAGCACCGCCGGGTAACCCTGTGAGCCTGGTGGCCTCCTTGCCTCACCCGGGGAAGAGGGCACTGGCTGTCCAGCACAACTTCGCCCCGGCCCTGCCCTCCCTTGTCCAATCGCCCACAGTTTCACCCAGACAATTAATTCATTATCTTTCTCTGCAGAAAAACTACTTTTCTCTGTCTTTTTGCAGACTGTTCACTTGGCTTTTCTCAACTGAGCTGTCAGAGGGAAATGAATCCTCCATCTGTAGGGTAGGGATAGGCATCTGAGAAGAGGGTGCAGGGAGACGATGATGTCTGAAGGTTTCTTAGAAAGCCAGCTGTTCAACTTCTTCCCTCCAGGGAAGGCCAGCTTGGGGTGGGGGGTGATACAACACTGGGGCTCCTCTCCAGCACAGAGGAGGTGGGCAGGTCTAGAACTGCAGGACAGCTGTGTTAGGCTCCAAAGGGCAGGTCACACCAGGGCACCTGCACCTCCTCTGGTCACCTGGTCACTGGGAGGCCGCCCTCCACCCTCCCGAGTCACACTTGCTGCTCCCCCACCCCTTTGCTGGGGCCACTCCTAGTCAGTCCAGCTCTGAGCTAGAGCTCTGGTGGCTCCCTGCTTGCAAGGCCTCCATTTATCTTGGTAACCAAAGTAATCTCTCCCCCATGGAGATTCCAGAAGACAAAGGAAAGAGCAGGCCACCTCTTGTGTCCATACTCCAAGGTGGGTTCAGAAGGCCCAGCTTCCTTGGAGTTCGCTATAAAGTTTTAGCCCCGTGACCACTGCCATTCCTGGGCCCCTCCCAGTGTCTGGCTCTAGTTAAAAAGAGCCATCGCTCTTTCCAACACTGTAAAGGCGGCTCAGAGAAAAAGGAATGGCTCACCGTGTAAAGAACTGTGCTGGGCTGAGCAGCTGGGGTGGGCCTGCCGCTTGAGGCAGGTCAAGCATGTGCCAGACACACAGGACAGATTCAAACTCTAGAGGAGGTCATGTGGCCAAGGGAGCTGCAGGGGTGGAGAAAAGCACCTCAACCTACAGTATCCTCTGGGTCATCTAATGGCAAATACACTAAATCTGTGGTTGCTCCAGGTAGTTTCCAGTTTTCCAGCTTGGCAGGAATACACCTTTCTCACTTTAAGGAAAAGACAAACAAGGGGGAAATTCTCTACTTCACACATGGCACCTTAAATCACCTCGACTAGCTAAAGGAGGAGGCTGCTTTCTGATCCACACCGTGTGCCCACAGGGCTATATGTCACTTACAACACACACACAGCCCAACACCCACTGTTCTCAACTCCACGCAGGCCAAGCAGAGTCCATAAAACGACAGTGCTCTTCCTACTTTTCACTTCAACTCCTAACATCCCCACGAACATTCTTTGTCCTCCAGTGGGTATCCAAGTCATTCAAACTCTCGGAGGGCGCTCTGGAAGAACCAGTTTATAATTTCACATGCCAATGTGCACCCCATCAAGGCTCGGATGTGTGCAGCTAAGACAACGCCGGCCAGCAGAGCAACCCTTTCATGAACTTGGACAGCTCGGTGTTCCCACCAGCAGGGAAAGGCTGGCATTCTGGATCCCATTTCACAGCTGGGCAAACCGAGGCTCCAGGAGTAACCAACTTGCCTGGGTAGCGCAGTAAACAGAAGCCCGTGCCTGCCTCTGACCCTGCGCCCAGTCCCTCTGCACCAGACTCTTCAGACTCGGGGCTGTAAACGGGACCCATCCCAGCGCCGCCTGGGTGAACAGCAGCTTCTGGTTTTATAATGGGGGGGGGGCGCTGGAGAGGGGCTCCTACCCACCTGATGGGCCTGTGTGCCAGCCTCCAGCCAGGCTTTCCCTGATGCCCAAGGAGCCCGCCCCTGCGTCTGAGACCGGGGGCGCCCAGACGGCCCAGGAGCGCGAGCGGGACGCGGAGACACTCGGCCTGGACCCACCTGCGCGGCCCGCGGGCCGGGATGCTGCCCGCCGCGCACCTG